AGTCACAACAGTTTAAGGATTCTCAAACAAAGTTTCACCAATCAAGGGAACTTGGGTTCAGAAATCATTATATCCCGTGTAAAAGGTCTAATTCTCCAAACCATTCAGTGAGGTAAGATGTATACATAGGTATTTGTTTATGGAATACCTTGAATACCCTGGTGTCTCTGGTATTGCTCTTCCCCTAAGAAACTATTCAAAATGTTGCAATTTGAATAACTAAACATGTACTGATTCAATTTTTTTGCAGGTGGGGGAGAATACATTTCAGATTATTTCTAATCATTTTGTGCATATGCAATGTCAGAAATGTCACTTTGCTGACTTATGTTGGTCACCCTTCTCTATCTTTCCCAAGTAGCCATTAATAATAATAATAATAATCCTTGCATTTGATATAGCGCTTTTCACATCGGGAGGACGTCCCAAAGCGCTTCACAGAATATACTGTAAAGTGAATTGACTGCATATTTGTGGGCGAACGCGGCAGCCAATTGCGCACAGCAATGTCCCACAAACAGTCGTAGAATGAAAATGACCAATTTATTATTGTTTTGGGTTTTTTGGAGGGATTATTATTAGGCTCTGTGTGGAGTAAGGAAACTTGCCCAAGGTTCCGCCCTCTGCCTGGAATTGAACTCAGGTCTCTCGCTTGCAAAGCGAGTGCTCTAACCACTGAGCTACAGGATTCCATTCTTCATTGTGTGAAAGCTTTTGCAGAGGGTGCATCCCAGCCTGACAGGTCTTAATCCTCACACAATGTCCCCTTTTTAGCAGAGCTTACTGGACAGACAGGCAACTGGAGTAAGAATCATGGCTAACGAGTCCTCCGCCCGAGTCTTCTGGAGGTATTTTATATATTTTGTTGCTTCGAACGGTGTAAAATTCCACTGGAAACTCTTGATACAGCACCCAAGTGCTGTATTAAAGACTCAGCAATGCAGGCAAGTTATTGGGGCCATCACAGGTGAATCCAATCCTTTCCTTGCCTGATGTCCACACACTCATGCACCTTCTGGCCCAGTCAGAAATTCTGGTTAGAAATCAGCACAAATCCTCGACAGATTTTCTCCTCCCTAATCCAGTGGTACCGAGACCAATTCAAGATCCACTAACAAACAAGATGTACTTTAAATCTGTTTTACATAGAATCTACATGCATGGCAGTGTTTATACTCCACATGAGCCTCCACATATCCTAATTCCACACTCCCCAGCCTCCCACTGCTTCAACTACAGCTTCCAGCAATGAGTTTCACATTCTCACCACACTGTGTAATGAAATTCTTCCTCCGTTCTCCTTTAGATCTGTCATAGCTACATTATATTTATGCCCACTTTTTATGGTCTTGTCAACAATTGGGAAACAGTCTACATCAATCCCAGTTTCAATCCCTCTGCCTTGCCCCCTCCTTGCCCATCTCAGATCATACCTGAAGACTTTCCTCCTCAATCATGCCTATGATCATCTGCCCTCTCTTGAAGGCTCGGCCTCAAACTCCACCAAAGTTAAGTGCTCCAAGACATTGCTCCATTTGAAGCGCACTAGATAAATACAAATAGTTGTTGTCTATTTATGTTCACTGTATCAAACCCTCCTCATAATTTTAAACTTCGTTATCAGGGTTTTTTTCTTCCAAACTAGCGATGCTTCTGGATATTAAATTATACCAAGAAAAATACCAGGAATTGCCTGAAAGGGTGTCGGAATCCGATTTGCTAATAACCTTTAAGAAAGAGTTGTGGTGAAGTGTTGTGAGATGTGCCGTGTGTAAGCCGATGTGTAAGCTGAGAGTCATGAAGTGCTGTTGAGACTTGCGGTGTATGTGTCAGGTGTGTTAAGTCGGAGTCATTGACTGGTTTTACTGTTGGTTTGACGCCTAACACTGACCTGCAGGTGTCTATAACCACTGGAATAGAACATTCCCTCTCGCCCTTTGTTATTACTGTGTCCCACCCAGTCACTCATAATTAAGTAGATAATTATTTGGGAAGGACAAGTTTGCAGGGCTATGGGGAGAGAGCAAGGGAGTGGGATTGATTTGGATAGGTCTTTTCAAAGAGCCGCCACAGACACGAATGGCCTCCTTCTGTCCTGTTTAATTCTATGAATAGTAAACCAGTTTTTGATACAGCAGTAACTATTAGTCTCAGTTGTGTTAGTTATGACATACAGAAAAGAACCTGACTTATCATCAAGAAAACATTCCAACATTCTCCACAGACTCCAGTCTGACACAAGAGAAATAGTATACATTGCACATAGCAATAAGAATGCACATACATAGTCTACATTGCAATAAAAAAATAAAATTGAGCAATGAAGAGTCATAAATATAGAATATTTACAACTCTTCCAGTATTGTGCCTGTTCTAGAACCAGCTCCCTTACAGGAGCTATCGACTGTATTTTAATTCCCCTTCATTCCTCTAATAGGGAATCTCCTTCCTAACAGCAAAAGGTGACAGTTCAATTTCCTTTGGTGACGTCAATATAAAGCTAGTCAGTGTACTGACTGGACAGCTATCACTGTCCATTAATATTCTTTGAGAATTTATCCAATGCCCTTTAAATATTTTATGGCCTCAGCCTCAACAGCTATTAAGTAGACATTCCATTCTCTAACCTTTCTTTGTTTGGGATAAAGAAAATAGTATTTTTTTCTCTTTTCTGATGAAAATCCTCAATTTGTATGCCTCTCGTGGACATAGGGAATCAATACCAGGAACTCATGAGGACTCAGCATCTTATAGTACTCATGAATGAAAGAATGGAATACAAAGGCAGCTTCAGCTGTATAGAGCCTTGGTCAGACTCCATCTGGAGTTTTGGTCACCGCACCTCAGGAAAGATACCTGGTGAATCTGGAGGGGATGCAGTGCAGATTCACCAAAATTATAACAGGGAATAATGGATTAAATTATGTGGACAGGTTGCATAAACTTGGTCTGTATTCCTTTGAGTTTAGAAGTTTGAGGGGTGATCTGATTGAGGTGTTTAAAATAATAAAGGGATTCGATAGGGTAGCTAACGACAGAGAAACTATTTCCTCTGGTGGAGGAATCCAAAACAAAGGGGGCATAATCTTAAAATTAGACCTAGGCCATTTAGGAGTGAAATCAGGGGCAGTTTTTTACTCAAAGGGTAGTGGAAATCTGGAACTCTCTCCCGCAAAAGGCTTTGGATGCTGGATCCATTCAAATTTTCAAGACTGAGTGGATAGATTTTTGTTAAATCAGGGTATCAATGGATATGGAACAGAGTAGTTTTGCCCCATTGGAGGGATATTGGAGTTGAGGTACAGGTTAGCCATGATCTAATAGAGTGGCAGTACAGGCTCGAGGAGTTGAATGGCCTCCTCCTGTTCCTGTTTTATTATGCTTCCAGCAGTGATGTTGCCATGCAGTTGTGGGTTGACAAATGGCAAAGAGACAACTGTCCATGAGGCACCAACAGCTGAGGAGTTCTATCGTCGGATGTAAGCAGATTCTGCCGCTATTCCCAGGAGCTGAGCGACCATAGCTAGTGGCTATTGTTTCTTTGCATTCACAGAATGTATGGTGCCATCGCCCTGTATACACATGCACTGAAACACGTACTGCCTACGTAACGATAGCGGAAAGAAATGGGAAAATAATCACCAGATAATCTGACCGTAGAAACAAATGCTGGAAGACACCAGCTTTCAAAAGCAAAGGCTGGCGCTGCACGATAAGCGATGCTCTGGTCTCAGCGCCACTCATGCGCCGGTCATTGTACAAGAGGAGGCATAACATACACCCCGTTGTTTTCAGGAGTTAACTTTCCTGCGTTAAACCTTTGGACCATTTTTTGGACTGAATGTCAACAGTTGCAGAATCTGTTCAAAGTGTAATCTAAACATCGCTTTCGGACATTCGTTTGACTTTGAACATAAACTATAAAGCGTAGAATTCCATTGATTTGTCCCGCTCATTCAGGTTGCCATACTGCCAGATCAGGAAGTCAGGAAACAGCTGCACAATTTGATGCAGGTTGGAGTCACTCATCGAACGTGCTCCAATGTATGAAGTTCCCAAGAAAAAGCCGACTCTTTTAGAATTGGATCTAATATCAGCAAATCTACTTCCCTTCTTTGTAAACAGATGAAGAAATGGATACTTCAGGAAGAATCATGTTACTTAGATTTAAAATATGACTAATAGGAAAGCAAAATGCAATTACAACATTCCTGCACCCCCCCCCTCCATCATTTTGCTTATGTTTGATTAACCAGCAACAGTAATTCATACTCCTTCCCTATTGACTTTGGTGCCCAAGTAACTGCTAAATATAACTTCAGATGATCTACCTCACAAGGGTGGATCAACTCTGAAAATTGATCTATCCACACTCGCCAGGTGTTTCTGTAGTAATAACCGCACAGCCCCAAGCCTCCCTGTAGAGTAACCTTCCAAAGGGCTTCAAGACCTTTTTTCCTTTGTTCCATTCCCACCTTGTTAATGAACTCAAGAACAGAGCACTGACTAGCCTTATATTGACCTTACAAAGAGAAACTGAACTGTCACCTCTTGTCATGAGGAAGGCGATTTCCTACTACAGGAATAAAGACCTTTATTGCAGTCAATCAGCAAGTCGATGTTGTCGAAGGTTGATAAAAATGCACCGACAGAAACATCACTGCTAACATTGACAATCTAGACTCCGAAATGAACATCAGACAGCTTTGTTCCGACCTTTATTCCTTTGCTTTACTAGCAACATTGTACAATTTTGCAGGTGACACATGATGTCATATAAGCATTGGGTAATGTAAATTACATGAAGTATTGATGTGTAACTGACATGACTGGTTCCAGACAAGTAGACATGAACTTCAGCTGTTGTCATCAGCGGCAGAGCTGTCAGCATCTGATATGTCAGGGCTTGTTATGGCAGAACACTAATTTGGAGCCTTAACCTAAACTTCTAAACCAGGGGCGGGGGGTGGGGGTAAGCAGGATATCCTTGCAGCTGAACTGCCTCCAAGGTGACATGCTTAACAGAATGTTAGAATCAGAGCAATCCTGTGTTCAGTCCAAGTAGCACAGGTCCTGTGACCAGTGGGTCTGCTGATGACAGACCAGCCAGCCTGGATCATCGGTAGGATTTGGGAATGACAGTGGGAGATTATTCCCACTCAGATCTTCTTAACCTTGCAAGTTACAACAAGAACATGCATTTATATAGCGCCCTTCACGAGGGGGAGCGTCCTGGAACATGTCCCACAACCCTACAGGTCGGATGGTCCGAGCAGCGAGTAGCCTGCCAGATAGTGCATTTAGTGGCAAGCTTTGCAGTTTTAGCTGGTTAAACTCAAGCAGCATATAATGCCGGCATTTTCAAGTTTTGGCTTTTGCCAACCTGGCCTAATACTTTACGGAGTTAGACAAGCAGGGTACGGATTCCATTCCAGACAGAGGGAAAGTTCCATGTGTAGTAGCTGACATACACTCAGCTGACCCAAATAAAACAACTTAAACCCAGCTTTACTTTCAAGGAGATCAGGTATGAAGAAGTAGGATGTAAATTTATCAATATAAAAAGCGCAAACCATCAGCAGTCAAATTGGCATCAATTTTATTTCTAATAAAATGGCAGTAAAATCTGGCAAGTGTCAAATCTGTAACATCATATAATTTAAAATCAATTAATTAATATAAAAGGTTTGTAAAACCCAACACAACACCGGAGGACACTTTTTCATATTTTGTACAGACATAAAACAAGACAAATAATAAAACCTTGCATCTTCTGAGGGTCAATGTTATCAGCTCAATCTTGAGGAATGAGAAAAAGGAAATAATTAGCTGCAGTTTATAAGAATCAGAAAGTTAAATTGAAGTGAAGACTTATTTATGACTTCTGGTTGGCGAGAGTAAATTCAAAACGATTCGCTAGTGAGGTGAGAGAAAACACTACTGTATGAACCACTCAAGTACTGTTCCCACCCTCCCCCATTATCATCCTCTCCTTGTCCACCGGTTCAGTTCCCACCCCCCTAAAAACAGCCGTCATCACTCCCATCTTGAAAAAACCTTCCCTGGATCCATCCCTCCTCTCCAGCTACCGCCCCATCTCTAACCTCCCATTCCTCTCCAAGGGCCCGGAACGAGTCGTCGCGTCCCAGCTCCGCTCCTTTCTCTCTCGCCATTCCCTCTTTGAACCCCTCCAATCCGGCTTCTGCGCTGCCCACAGCACGGAAACAGCCCTGGTCACAGTCACTAACAACATTCTGAACATCTGTGATCAGGGCTCCCTCTGCCTCCTTGTCCTCTACCGCTTTCGACACTGTCGACCACTCCATCCTCATACATCGCCTCTCCGTTCTACTCAATCTTTACGGACCTGCTCTTGCCTGGTTCGATTCCTATCTCTCTCACCGTCTCCACTTTGTTGCCTCTAATGGTTTGTCCTCCAGACCCGCACTGTCACATCTGGCATCCCCCAGGGCTCTGTCTTTGGCCCTCTCCTCTTTAATATCTCCATGCTCCCCCTCGGTGACATCATCCGCAGACATGGGGTCAACTTCCACATGTATGCAGATGACACCCAACTCTATCTTTCTGCCTCCACCCTCAACTCCAGGACCTCTGCTGTCCTGACAGACTGCCTGTCAGACATCAAGTCCTGGATGAGGGCAAATTTCCTACAGTTGAATGTGAACAAGACTGAGGCCCTCCTGATTGGATCGCGCCAGCGCCTCTGCACCTCAGGCTCTGGCAACATCAACCTCCATGGTTACATACTACAGCTCACCAGCCAGTCAGGACCCTGGGTTTCTTGTTCGACCCTCAACTGTCTTTTCTCCCTCACATTCAAGCCATGACTCGCTCTGCCTTCCCTCACCTCCGTAACATTGCCCGACTCCGCCACTACCTCACCCCTCAGGCCGCTGAAACTCTTGTACATGCCTTCATCACCTCCAGGCTCGACTACGCAAACGTCCTGCTTGTCGGCCTTCCCAACTCCTCCCTTCACAGGCTGCAGATAATCCAGAACTCTGCAGCCCGTGTCCTCTCCCGCACCAAACTCCGTGACCCCATCTCCCCCCTCTCGCCCGACTCCATTGGCTCCCTATCCTTCAGAGGATCCAGTTCAAGATCCTGGTCGTCACATACAAAGCCCTCCATGGCCTCGCCCCACCCTACCTCTGTGACCTCCTAACCCCCTACAACCCGCCCGCTCCCTCCGCTCTGGCTGCTCCACGTCCCCCGACCCACCTGCCCCACCATTGGCGGGAGAGCCTTCAGCCACTCTGCCCCCAACCTCTGGAATTCCATCCCCCAGTCACTCCGCCTCGCCCCCTCCTTAGCCTCCTTCAAGTCCCGCCTCAAGACCCTCCTCTTCGACCATGTCATCGGTCACCCCCCTTCTCCTCCCCTCCCTTCTCCCCCCACCCTGACCCCAGCTCAGGTCTGAAATGCTGTTCACTGTCCAGCGTCTTGGGACGTCCTCCCGACGCGAAAGGCGCTATACAAATGTGATCTTGTTGTTGTAGACCACAACTACTGAATACTCTAGTTTCAATACCTGAGGTTGCATGTACTTTTATGACAAAAGAGAGATCAATGCATCCAGGAACTTGCTTCGGTCCTCAGCCTTTAGTTCAATTACTGCAAAAAAATATTATTGGTTAATTGGGTTTGCTGTCATCAGAAATGCATGGGGTTGTAATCCCTTTACAGAGAACTGGCAAATATTTATTGAATGATGAGCCATTGCAGAACAAAACACGTGACCTGAGGTCGGCTTTTCTGCTGGGATGAGCCAACTTAATAAACTTCTCTTTCGATAATTCTTGCATTTGATCTTGTGCCTTTCTTATCAGGAAGGCATTTCAAATCACTTCACAGGAAAGGGCAACAACTGTGCATTTACCTCATGTTGCTTTCTTACCAATTGTGTAATACATCGTATAATGCCCCCTCGTGTCACTGATTTTAAAAAACACGATATTTTGTAAATGAATGCCGCAGCAAAATGTGTACACGGCAATGTCCCTTTTCAAATCTGACCTTTCAAATCCACCTCAAACCAAAGCTGCATCCAAGAGCCACGTTTTAAACCTTACCAATTGACGAGGGGGATGAGCCTTTCTATATATATATATATATACACACACACACACATATAACAGTATACTATGTGAAGCGCTTTGAGACATCTCAAAGACGTGTTAAGGCGCTATAACAAACACAAGGATTTTTATTATTAACCCTGAAAAAATTAAAATTTGTTCCATATTTTGATTAGCTGCTGTGTTCAACTATGTACTTTCACCGATTATTCATGCATTGTTACTCATCGCTATGTAAAACTAATGTTAACTACAATGCTTAGTGAGGGAAATTAGGGCGAGACACTAATATAATTAATATTGGAAGTATTTGTACACACAACAGTCAGATCTCCAAGATACTTACTGGAAGTATCGAAATGATCATGTAGAGTCCTTGAGCTGGTACTTTCTGCTGCCTTCTCAAATGCTTTGCCAAAGAAACTGGAAAGAAATGAGGATTATTTAATATCTTTTCTGCACCACCTTATTAGTGTTATCCTCCTTCAGAGTACACTGTGCTTCAGATTGGGGTATTGACCTGTAAACCAAGTAGCTCTGGGTAACAGTCCTTCCAGCAATTGAAGTGTGAACTCAGTGATATCTTTAGTTTTCATCTTATTGAATATTCTTCATCATATGAGATCATAAGTATCTGACAGGTAAGGGCCACTCTCAGCAAATTTCAATGGTAAATGAGTTTCCTTTGGGCAAATTGATTTATTAATCAAAACATTCATATCAGGTTCTTTCACATTGCAAAGCTCCTTAAGAAATAGAGGTTAGCGAGGTAGCTGATAATTGTGGCATAAAGAGCATGAATCAGTTTCCTGTTCTGTGCCTTTCAAAGCTAGGAAGTGACCACTTGAATATAATACTCACAATGGTACTGAGTCACATTTCCGATAAATCTAAAATGAAAGGGTCAGTTTGACCACCGAGTCACTGTCTAGCCGATGATTAGCTTGAAAATGACAACGTAACCAATAGATATGGTCCGTGCTGGATGAGAACTTGTATGGGGCTGACTGCATCATGTGTGGACTTAGTATTGATGACTCATTTGCACCGTAATTCTGAATACTGTATGCATTTACTTCATTGCTTTCTTACCAATTGTGTAATACATCGTATAATGCCCCCTTGTGTCACTGATTAAAAAAAAGCACAATATTTTCCGCTACTAGCCAGCCAGTCTGCACCTACACTGAACTGTAAGCAAACGAGCACCACAACCTAGTATAGTAACTATCACAGAGCAGCCAATGATTTTGTCCTATGATAAGAATGCATTACAAGGCCTTCACATTGCTTCAAAGTTCAACAAAAAAAACTCTTAAAATCAGTGAACGTCAGTGATTTATTTTCAGTAAGCTGCTGAGTCCCGTTGTGTAATTACTTTTTCTACACTACAGCGTTTGGTAACAAACTCACTTTTTTTTGTCTGAACTGTCGCTCTCTGGCGGAATTCCAGTCACTATCACAGTCCCTTTGTCCAGATCCATCGGAGCTGCCATGACCAGGGGGAGCAGCCTACATCGCTTGATTCTGGTCTGCAACAAAGAGCAAGTGCAAAGAGCTCATTAAAATCTCCACTGTGATATGGATAAGGAACTGTAACATCACACATGTTGATTTAAAGAGTCAGCACACTCATTGTTCAAATACACACCAAGCTCCATGAGCTGATCAATCCCATCAACGCCCAGCTTCACTGGCTCCCTATCCCCCAGTGGATCGAGTTTAAAATCCTCGTCCTCACTTTTAAAACCCTCCATGGTCTTGCTCCTCCCTACCTTTGTGACCTACCAAAGCATTATCTCTGCTCGGCGGGCACGGTCTGCTCCTACCACCATTGGCAATCGAGCCTTCAGGCTTTCTGCCCCAACCCTCTGGAACTGCATGCCAGAGTCCTTCTGCCTTCCCTCCTTCAAGGCCTGTCTCAAGACATTCCTTTGATTGTGCCTGTCATCTTCCCACCTCCATCCCTGTTGTCCTCCTCATCTCTAAGACGATAACCCCCAGCTCAGGTGCAAACCCTTCCCTGTCTAGTGCCTTGGGACATCCTTCAGACATGAAAGGCGCTACATAAGAACCCGGTTGTTAGTCAATTGGTTGATCGCTTTTCCGGGGGTAATAATTCCTTCAAAATAAAAATAATTTGGTCACTCAGTCCACTACTGTTTATGGGACAATGCTGTGCTTCATTACAACTGGATCACTTTGATCTCTTTTTAGAGTCTCAGCAACAAGTGGAAACAGCCTATTTGTGTCCAGCTTTTCAAACCCTTTCATAATTTTTTAAAAAATTCTATTTAATAAGGCTTTCCTGGAGGAAAAAAAAACTCTAACCTGTCCAGTCTTTCTTGACAGCTGTATCTTCTTATCCCTGGTAACCTCACCTGAAATCTTCACTGCACTACCCTTCCTGTAGTATACTGAGTTGAACACACACGGTACTCTAAATGTGATATATTTACCTATTTAGTTTGATGTAAATGTATTATTTTCTTATCTGCAGCTCCAGTCTTTTTCCTCCCCGTAGAGACAGCCATTTGATGTTTTACGCTCATGTCAGCTCATATCCATAACTGGATCATTAGTGAGCAGTTCCAATGTCCTGCAGCTGGTGCCACCCACCAACTGGCCAGTGCAATCTGAAGGGCATTTTAAGAATGCATCTCTTGAAAGGGGAGGCGAAAAGTGCCTTGCAGAAAAGCACTCCCTTCTATACTCTCCTGCCCTTTTAAGCTTGGTTTGGTATGCACAAGGCAATTAGCATGAACAAGTACGACCATGTTTGGAAATTACAACATTCATGGAAAATGCCAGCTGTCAATTTTGACTCGGAATTACAGAATTAAGCAAGAATGTGAGGTGTGGAGAGGCCACAACAAAGTTTAATTTTAATAGTCATTTCTTGCCAAATCACCCCTGTGGTGAAATTCCATTCCTTCCCTTTCCTTACTAGCTACAAACAACATAGAACATAGAAGTACACGGCCTTCAGTTTTGATGAACTAGAATTCAATTAAGGTTAGAAGTTTACACCCAACATTGCTCATTGTTGATTGACCTTCCTGATCAGGCTTCAGATAGCTTTATATCGACGAGGCCTCCACCAGAAGTCAGTCTATAATAATATATACGTATATAATAATAATCTTTGCATTTGATATAGCACTTCATCGCGTTTTCAAGACTTCTCAAAGCGCTTCACAGGATATACTGTGAGGTGAATTTGACTGTATATTTTGTGGGCGAAAACACAAAAGCCTTTATATAGAGCTGCACAGGAGAGCAAGCATTCCAACAAAAAGCCGTTGCTCTTTTTGAAACTCCCCTTTGCTGGAGAAATTACCTACCGAGCGGATGAAGGACTTAAGCAAGTGCCTGCAAAGGAGACTCAAACAAATGGGCTTGGAAAAGATCTTCACATCTGGACTCCCCTAATGAACAAAGAAAATAACTTAAGCCGACAGCACAATCATGTTAGAGTTGAACAAACACTTTGTCAGATAAGGAAGTATGAGTGATTAAAACAAGGATAAAATTTAAGAACGATATAAAACATCTTTCTTTCCTGATGCTCATACAAAGCAACAAACTGGATTTAATACACAAGTGATGACATTTGGTTGGGTCCAGGAGTTATAGAAATGTCATACTACACCAGGCACCACTGTGCTGATTGATTTATACTTTTTACTTTTGTGTACTTTTTAAAAAAAATCACAATTTGTATTCTGCAATTTTTTTTATTGAGTCTATGAAAAATTCACTTATCTTGCTTGATTTGGAACTCCATTCCACATTCCCTTGGCCTCTCTCCCTTCCTTGCCTCCTTCAAGGCATATCTCAAGACCCTCCTCTTCGACTGTGCTTTCAGCCACCCTCCTACCCTCTCTTATCCCAACCACCCTCCCCCCACCCGGCTCGGGTCCAAATCCCTGAATCTCCAGCACCTTGGGACGTCCTTCTGACATGAAAGGCGCTATACAAATGTAATTTTGTATTGTATTGTAGTTTACCAATATAAAAGTGGCATCATGCTATTCAAGAAGACCATACCATCAGAGAAAAAAACATGTTGTATCTCTACTTATTTACTTTACTATGGGTCTTTGCCTTACAATAGAGTTCCAGTTCCCAATAAGCTTCCCGAGTCTGTCCCCAGAATGTTGCTAACCTCCTGCAGGTAGCAGTACAGGAAGGGTCCCTGTGAAATGATGAGATTGGTGCAGATGCAGCTGGCAACTGTCTGATGAATGGCTCGCAGCTGCTTCTTGGCCATTTCCAGGCCCTGGTGAAGCTTGTCCAGGTTACTCCTAGAGAAAGAAAGGAAACAAAATGATCAGCCTTTTTCTTATACACTTTGGTAACCAAAGAGCAAAGTATATTTACAAAATGGTGCCTAAAGGATTGGATTGTCTGCGACTATCTCGGGGACACTCCACAGGGCTCATCTCCAAACTGGTTTACACCTTGGGTTTCTAAAAGGCACTAGAAAAGCTCAGTTCCTATGCACTGATAATTCTTAACTATCATCAATACAACAACAACCTCCATTTATATAGCCCACAAAATATACAGTCAATTCAATATCCCAAGGACACATGTTAGCTGATGTGTTTGCGGTTATCGGGACACAAGATATTGTATTTGGTAAAGTGGATCACTAGACCATCGCTGGAAATAATCCGAATGTTACAATAATAATGTGGTCACTCAATCCACGACTGTTTGTAGGACACTACTGTGCGCAATTGGCTGCCGTGTTTCGGCCACAGAACACACAGTCATTACACTTTACATTATATTCTGTGAAGCACTTTGAGAGGTCTCGAAGACATGACAAGGGCTATATCAAATGCAAGGTTTATTATGATTATTATTATAATAGGGCCCTGCAAGCCGGATGGCATTTTGAAGCATTTAAATACCATTTAAAATGAATTCCATTCACTCATTTCAAGCAGATCTCTGAATGGAATGAAGTTCACACCATGAGACTGAATGTCAGATCAGGAAACACAGCAAGCTTGCACCTGCTTGCATGATTCTCAACAATCTGCAGTTTCACAGAGTTTCAAAAAGTTACAAATAACTTCAAATGATATTGACACTCAGTTTTTTTTAAAAAAACAAACATCTGTGCAGGTGTGTCCTTCCGTTAATAGTTGTGCAGGATATTGCAGAGGCTGGAGTAACATCAAAGAACTAAAATGTCATCATACCTTACAAGCTTTGCAGTTTCACAACACTTCACATGTGCACTGATGGCCTCTGGTGGCAACGCAAGGAACACAAGTGTTTTGGACCACCCCAGAGGCAAATGAAACAATGGACACACAAACATATAAAAAAACACACACAGCATAGTGAATAGAAATTTCTCAATGGGACAGTGCCCATTTGGAAATCCTCAGCAGTCCGAATATGTGTGGGGGTTGTTGGGAACGAAGTAGTAAACCACCAAGGGAAATTTTTACGGATTTTGTTTTACATCAGTGAAAGATACATAGCCTGTCTCACTCTCAACCCCTCTCCCTCCAACACCAGAAACAAGCCGTACCTGGATAGACAGTCTAAAGCTCTGATGAAGTTATCATTTTCGTTGTCTTTCTCAATGTTCTCCAGCAGTGCAGCAGCCGAGTAAACCACATCGCTGGCGAGGAACTGGTTCTTAAAACCAAAGTGCACGCTGAACGTCTGAACTCGGATATCCCTCATTCTGTCAAACAAAATCACCAATGTTATTATTTTCATAAAGGTTTCTAATGGAGCTCACTGCAACTAAAGGATATTTAATGGCAAAAGGTGTTGGATCTTTTTTCTCAATACCCACTGTCTAGTTTTGCATCTCTCCCTTTTCTGGGCAGTCCAATGCAAACAGTAAACCCCAACAAAAAAAAACCTCTCCCCCGACCCACAGCCCAGATTAATCCTCTATAGGAAATTAAAAAGCTACTCTAGTATTACTACACAACAAAATAATTGTAAAATTCACAGAAACAGTTCAAAAGAGCAATCGGGAGCTGGGAGCCAATTAATACAATCCAACCCATTGTGATACAAATAAAAACAGAAGTCGCTGGGAGCAGCATCTATGGAGAGAGGAAAATTAGTTAACGTTTCAGGTCGATGACCTTTCATCAGAACCTTTTATTTTAGATAATCCAGCATCTGAAGTATTTTGTATTAAGTATTTTGCCCAACTCAAGTCATTGTAGTACTAGTAGTGGAACCATATTTTACAACCTGCGCAAGTGTTTCCAGTGTTGTCGTCATGTCTGACAGGTTTCAGAGTAGGCCAGCCAGTCAGCCATGACTGTGATTGTTTCTAGCCTTGCTCTAGGAATGCACAGGATGATGGCCAGCCAGCACCAGAAGCCATCAACCCAGAAGTGGGACATGGGGCCATATTTATTTCATGGACGAGTTATAAAGCAGGGTCTAATTTTAATGGTCCGAAACACTTCACCCACAAAATATACAGTCAATTCACTTTACAGTATATTCTGTGAAAAGTGCTTTGAGACGTCTCGAAGACATGATAAGGCACTATATCAAATGCAAGGATTATATTATTTATTATAATGGGATCAGACTGTAATCATTCTACCACTGCTTTCCTATGCAGCTACTTTGAAGGACACCACATTTGGCTCTTGCGTTCTGTAACTTGCTGTTCCGATAGTATGTTCTTGTTTTGAGGTCAGAACACCAAACCTGTGAAGGTTTCTAAGAGAGGGAGACATAATCTATTTTATCAGCTTCAGAAGAATGAGGGAAGAAACTGAATTTTTTTAAAGTAGTATTTTACCCAAATTTATTGGCCGATTCCTCGATCAATTCCCGCAAATTCTCCTTCAACGAGATGTCCATGCAGTTAAACTTCTGCGTGACTTGTTTCAGAGGGAGCCTGCAACAAAGAAGAAAACAACAGCTTTAAAAAGGAAAAAAAACTCCCTTTTATGTTAAGCACTCCCATTTATGTTAAGCACGGTGCTTAACATAAATGGATTTGGCTGTTCTAATATTATAGATCAGCAGCACCTACTCTAAACTGAAATTGATCAGTTGAACAATTAAGATAATTATATCGATAACTGATTTGCTTGCAACAACAGTAGATCACTCTCAAACCACAATGTTTGGGATTAGTTGTCCGAAATATTTCAAAAGGGTTTAACTACATACCCCATATCAGCAAGGAACTCCTGCAGTCTCTTCAAACCTTGTATAGACCACAGCTTGAGGTTGGCGTAGGTGTAGCTGGAGTTGCAGATACTCTCATAGAGGGACCAGTGCTGATACATGGCCAAACGTAAACTGGAGCAGGATTCATTAAGGGAAATTATGGAGCCTGTCAAATAGTCAGAAATTAACTCTCCAGTTTGAAACCACATGATAAACTACTGTTGTGGATGATATGCAACCCAAGCATCTGAACGAAATTGAGTCTTAACAAAACTCTACTTCCTTTTCAACCCCAGAGCACAAGATCTCCAAACACACAGAAACACATGGCATTCTAGGTCACTTTTCACTCCCTGCAACTATTTACTCTTCTGAGCACTAAACACTCAAGCAGTCCACAGATATCCTCGTAATGGTTCAGATAGACAATTTCTTCCTACCCCCCCGCCCTTTTGTTTAATTGTTTTTCCAACCTAGTCTACCCATTGTGCTCAGCAATATCCAACCCCTCGTGGCCATGCAGGCAGGCAACCTGTCCCAGTCCTCTCCCTATATCTGCAGCCAGAAAATAAGTAATTGAAATTGTTCTCCCTCCCTAAACACCTATGTTCTTATGGTGAAGAGGACCAGAAGGTAATGCTTACTGATGTACCTTTGCAAATGCTTCACACTGCTGATGGGCCAGATTAACAAGAAAATAATAATAATAAAATAATAAACCTTACATTTGATATAGAGTCTTATCACGTTGCTGAGACTTCAAAACAAGGAAAAGGTCTCAGATACAACAAGCAGATGTAAAGCCACCAGTCAAATACTCAGCAGAGACTAATTGAACATAATAGGCAGTCTAAGAAAACTGAATCCACAACTGGGGTGGGGCACTGTGGCTTTAAAGCTCAATGTTTTTGATGAGATACAAAATTACATTTGTAACTCAACACAATAACGTTCCTCATTTAGTTACTTATTTCCATTTGCAGAATGAAAGGATACTCATAATTAAATGAGATTCTCATGCAGTCGATGGAAAGCGAGTTCTCCTCATCCTCATTGCGATGATTGTGTCTCGATACATGACGCTGCACAGTGCCAACATCTGTTACATACTTCATGCTGCAAAAGGAGAAAACATGGTGAGATTAGGTAAATTCCATTTCTTACGCAAATACAGAAATACCATTGGATTAGATATAATAATCCTTGCATTTGATATAGTGCTTTTCATGTTTTTTGGAGGGATTATTATTAGGCATGTGGAGTAAGGAAACTTGCCCAAGGTTTCGCTCTGCCTAGAACTGAATCCAGGTGTCTCGCTTGCAAGGCAAGTGCTCTAACCACTGAGCTACAGGACTCAGGAGATCAATCCCAACTGTGGTCAGAAGAGATACAGCAATGACATAACCAGGTTAGAATTCTAATTATATATTCTTAAATACAGTATTTAGGTAATTGACTGATGAAAATAAATATTCATAACTATTAAACTAACATTAAAATGATCCAGATTCCTGAATGTGCAGATTAATGTGATAACTTTACATCTCATGGGCTATTTAGCTCATACAGTAGTGCTGCACTATTTCCAAAGGCAGCCTAACCTTGCGGTTAGTGCGGTAACCTTGTCAATGGTGGTTTGCATGCTGTCTCTGGAAGCAAATGTCACCAGCCCAGCAAGGTAAGGAAATGGTAGCTTTTGAGTTTACTGTTCCGATCTCTGACTCAGGCCAGGCAGGATTGTCAAACAATCCCAACTGTGGTCAGAAGAGATACAGCAATGACATAACCAGGTTACAATTCTAATTCGTATTCAACACACTTTTTTGTATTATAATCCACCTTCAAACGTTTTAACTCAAAACGAAAAAACAAAATGCCCCGTTGCTCTTGATCTATATCCTGCAACACAAAGTGGTGAATTCCAGGCACCAAGAGATTTTTAGGATAACAGATTCAGTCCTTGATTCAACCCTCTCTAGCCTCTCACCCCCCCCACCCCACCCCCCACAACCAGTGAACACTTATTTTTTTCCTGGAATACGAGGTAAGCTAAAGTGAATAAACTGTAACGTCAAGGTTACATCACATGAAAAGGCAACTGTCTGATGCTGACACTGGATAAAATGTGTTTCACTCCCCAGTTCTTCCTTTCTTCATCTTCGTAACCCTTCCCACCAATGAAATACAACTCTTACTGTGTGATTTTGTCATGAATCCATTGATCTGTCAAACCAACAATCGTCCACCTAGAAAACAAAAGGGACATTAGATTGAGCAATTCCAAAGAGGGGTCATGAGCAACGAACAAAACAGTGAAATTACCAAAATTATACACCAATTGAAGTGCATTATGACCTGCTTTCCTGCTTTGTAGCCACCCTGATAAATCAACTCTGTAGGCAGCATTTACTGTGAAATTGAGGCAATTGGGATAAATGAGTTACTTTAATGTGTAACATTGGAATTGTCCGCAAATAGGGTTTGGCTGAAAGCTTGAAAATTATTCAATATTTAAAGGTTTTCCTGTTCATTGATTTCAACATTAGATTGATCATAATAAGCTTTATATATATTTCCAACAGCCAAGATTTTTTTATCTTTTTTTTAAAAAAGGTCTCTTTTTCTGCCTCTATCGTTGGTGGTTTACTTCTAAGCTTTTGATAATAGCTGTAATCTGATCAGCAATGCAACATTTTATCTCCCTACTTTTTGCTCAACTAATAGTTTGGTGCTCTAGAAATTGACATTATAATAAACAATAAAAATCCTTGCATTTGATGTAGCACCTCATCTTTTTGTCAAGACATCTCAAAGTGCTTCACAGGATAAACTGTAAAGTGGACTGACTGTATTTTGTGGGCGAAAAGCAGCAGCCAATTGTGCACAGCAATGTCCCACAAATAGCCATGGAGCGAGTGACCAATTTTATTTGGGGAATTTGTTGACCAGGAGAAACTCCCTTCTCTTTTGGAATTGTGCCACGAGACCTTTAATGTCCACCTGTACAGACAGACAGTACCATGTTTTAACAACTTATCCAATGGATGGCACCCCTGACAACGCAAAAAACTCCAGCACTACCTGCTGACTCCCTACCAACCTGCCCGCTCCCTCCGTTCAGCAGGCTCCAGCCTGTTCCATGTCTCCTGCCCGACCTACCATCGGTGGCCGGGCTTTCGGCCTCTCTGCCCCCACTCTGGAAATCCATCCCACGGTCCCTTCGCCTCGCTTCCTCCGTTGCCTCCTTCAAGACCGGTCTGAAGACCCTTCTCTTCGACCGTGCCTTTGGTCTCCCTCCCACCTCTCTGCCTTCCCTCACCCCTACACCACCCCTCCCCCATGCTCGGGCCCCGACACCTGACTGTCCAGCACTTTGGGACGTCCTCCCGACGTGAAAGACACTCTAGAAATGTAATGTTGTTGTTGTTATGTGAGTCAGCCTAAACTATGTGATTCCAAATCCCAATGTGGAGCCTCAACCTACAACCTTCCGACACAGAGATAAGACTGCTACCACTGAGGCAAGCTGGCATCCGTTTATGCAGTATATTCTCCACAGTTAACCTAGCCTGATGTATGTAATCTGAGTAAGAGCTAAATCACTGCAGAATGTAGGCATAAATGACATAGTCAGTATCAGCAGCAAGTGGAGGCAGTGGATTCGGAGTCTGGATACACACCTCAGTAACCCACTAAGACAACATCACTTACCACAACATGTCATTGGAGTCCTTAGACATGATCCAGGCCAGCTCGAACATCACCAGGGCGGACTGTAAGCAGGGAGACAAGGAATTACTCATTACTAATAGGCACTGGTTACAGTAATAAAACATTACCTGAGTAGTAAGACATATTAGTATCCGTGTCAAACTACAAAATAGAACACAATAAATAAACCAGATCCCATGTAGTTATTTTACAAGATAACACCTGCAATTCACAAATCATTACAGTTCCACACTACTAAGTTTCAAAACAACAGTAAGCCACACTGCCAAACTGGATTCACAGCATGTCTATGGTTCTCCTCTTTCCCCTCTATCCTACACTAACTCCTGCTAAACATAATGAAACCTTCAGCAAAAATACCTCATCTTTTTTTGCTGGTTGCACTATATCCCACAATCTCGAACATCAACTTTGATGTGTTCAAAACGTAATCCTATGCTGCACTTTCACAATCTTTTGCACTGGAGATTTTGCTTTTCTACCTCTCACCAATGTTTATCCCATCTTGGATTAACTTTTGTCTCATAAACAACTCTTCAGCACCCTTTCCAGCAGTTCCCAATCTGTCAAGAACAATTAGTTGACTCTCTGTGCATGTAAAAGTTAATGATTTTACACGTTAAGTTCTTCCTAATGTCTGTTTCTGGGTCTAGTCTTATTTGATCTCTGTAAAACTATAAAAAAGGCTTTTCCTGAAGCTCTCCTGTTGGAAAGTGCACATAAGGTAAGAATGAATGGCCTACTCTTTTTTTCTGTGACTCCATGTTACTCCAGGAGTCACCCAAACTGAAAATACGGTAACTTATTTTCAGTACAGGACACTGCCTGCTCAGTAAGCTAAGATTCTCTTCCCCTCCTCCCCCTATAGCAGTCCATCATATGCTCTTCCTAGATTTTGTAACATAAAAATACATTTAAGCGGCTGTAGATACGTACTGACGTCCCATGGTATTCGTATTGCTCGTAGTCAAATAAGATCTCTCGTCTGTAAAAAATACAATAACAGTTTGCAATAACATCTGCATAGCATTGTTTACATAGGATAATGCCTCAAGGTACTTTACAGAGACAAAGTGGGATCCTAAGAAAGGTGGGTAGGCAAAAGGTGACCATAGGTGCAATAAAAGATAGGTTTTTAGACAGGTAAAGAGGATGAGGAAAAAAAGTGACAGCAAAATTTCACAAACAAGCAAACAGGTGGTTTTACCCTGGATTCCATATCGTATGGATAGAGAATCAGTTCCTAGTACCTGTGCTCCTCCCATTCCCGCCGTTGACGTCTTCTATCTATTCTCCTCTCCATCGCAGCCTGGAAGACAATATTTTCTGAAATCTATCAAGATGGCTGATCTATCATCAGCAGTGCCCTGGAATACTGTTGACCACACGACTAGTCTACTGAAACCACCCCTGAAGGTTGACTCGATTCCAACATTCTTGCAAAGCACTTCACCTTGGAGCCAGCTCAGCACCAAGGAGCCATCGCATTTCTTCTCTCCTGCCCCCGCCCCCCCACCCCCTGAGGAATCTCCAGTAAATTTGTTTCTGTCATTCAGAAACAATATTTTGATTTGTGTACATACACAGTTAGCAATATGCCTGCTGTCAATTATACTCACTTCATCAAACCTTCTACGCTTTCCAGAAGGTTCTGACCCTTCACTTTCATTGCCAGAATCTTCCGAATTCTGCTCTTCGTCATCTCTGAAGAGGTCATCATATCCAGGAACATCCAGATCGTCATCCTGTTTGATCAGCAGCTTAATCTAAAGAATATGGATTTAATAAAGTCACACCAAATATTTTATTCCCACGTACCATATTTCCGTTTCTTAACCCGCTTCATCATGTTTGGACAGTATCAAAGCCAGTAACAATTAGGTAAAGATTGGGCCGAAACTATGGCACTCCCTACCCAATCACCACTGCAGCGGTTTAAAGAGAAGGCCTACCCTTTCTTCTCATAACAACAAGGAATAAGCAATTATAATTTTTACTTTTGATACAGCGCCTTTCACATCGGGAGGATGCCTGAAGCACTTCACAGGATATAATGTAAGTGGGCCTGTATATTTTGTAAGATAACGCAGCAGACAATTTGCACACAGCAATATCCCACAAACCGCCATGAAGTGAATAACCTATTTTATTTGCAGGGATTTTTGGCTAAAACATCTAGGAGAAACTCCCTTCTCTTTTCAAATAGTGCCATGGCATCTTTATTGCCCACCCGAACAGGTACAGACAAGTCGTCAGTGTAAGGTCTTGACATGGTCAAGAGGTTACAGTGACAAAGTCCCAACATGGATCCTGCGACCAGAACCTTTAAACTCAGAGCCTAGAGTCCAGGTCGACACACAATAATTGCCAGTATCACACATATGTCCCAGAGCTGAAACAACCACAACAAATTGGAAGCACCTGAGGTGCTCTTCATATTGGATTAAACCAGAATAAAGTGAAATTTAACTACATATGGACAACATACCTGTGTGTCATTATACAGATTAATGATATCAATGGGTCTGTGGGTATCACAGATGTAGAAGACAGCCTCCTCGTCTGGCTGAAGCAACTCGAGGAGATCCACATTCGCACCACAATTAAGTAATACAAAGTACTTGAACTGCAAAAAGAGAGTAGTAGGTTAGTCATCTTATAAAGTATGAAGCAATTTTACATCTCCAAAGTAGTATTTGGAAAATACATATAGGAATGTAAAACATGCAACCATGTGAATAGGAGTGTCCTCAGGAAACAGTACATTATAAAGTGTTTACATCCCCTGAATCAATTGGTGCAAATAGCAGCTTTTTAAAGTATTGTCAAACTTTCTTAGTACCTGCTCTTTATGCTCTAAGAATGCTGTCTCCAGATCCTGCCACCCTGCCACAGGAACTAGCGTATATTGGACATGGTCACACTGGAACAGAGCCTGTACATAGATTAAAAAGAATCAGATTCATTAACTCAGCCTCTCAACAACAAAATTATGCTTATAGAGCGCCTTTCACGTCAGGAGGACGTCCCAAAGCGCTGAAATAGCGACAAATAAAATGTTTCTGATAAAACAGTGAGGATTGCAGAGAATTTTTTTTTAAGTCAACGGGAAGCGTGTCAAATACAGAAACCCATCACCATGCTTCAGAGTATACAAGGCAACCATGCATATTTAAGGCGCTTATATATGGCAACTTCCCTTCTTCCTGGAGGGACTCACCATGCTTACCTGATATTAGAGTATCAGGCACAGGTTAGCAAGAGCCAAGGCTTTGGGACCCCTTTAGGGTAATGCTAGAATTAAATCAGCTAAAATTTTAGCCCAAACAATACAGTCAATTCACTTTACAGTACATTCTGTGAAACACTTTGAAACATCTCGAAGACGTGATAAGGCGCTATATCAAATGCAAGGATTATTTTATTAGTAAAATCACATAGAATTCCATTGAGGGCAGCCTGGCAAGTTTCCTGCTGCTTGTCCAGGATGGATCTATGCCTTGTCCCACCCACCAATTAGAGCTTTGGCTTGTAGGGTTAACCAGAGCTGAATGGGAAGAATCTCTGCCCCAATAACTGGTCTGGCCCTCCAAGTCCTTCCGATGAGCTGGACTGGCTGATCAGTCAACAGCGGTGTCCTAAAGTACTGTGGACCTGCCTGACTCAGGAACCGGACTAGTGAGACGGCCACAGAAGATTGAGTCAATTATGACATTTCCTTGCCCAGCACCTTGAAGCAATTCAGCCTAAAGAAGGGCCCGCTTTCCTTCCCCCCACCCACAGGAGGTCAGAGAGGAGATGGAGACCATGTAGAATGATTTGATAATAATAATAATCCTTGATTTTGATATAGCGCTTTTCACATCTTCTAAACGTCTTTCAAAGCTCTTCACGGAATATACTATAAAGTGGGCGAAACGCAGCAGCCAATTGCGAACAGCAGTATCCCACGGTCGTGGATTGAGTGACCAAATTATTATTATTTGTTTTGAGGGATTATTATCCCTGGAAAAGCGATCCACCAATCGACTAACAACTGGGTCCTACTTACTGCTAGGTAAACAGAGGAGTGAGGAGTAAGGAAACTTGCCCAACATTTCGCCCTGCCGGGAATAGAACCCGGCTCTCTCGCTTGTGAGGCGAGTGTTCCAACCACTGAGCTACAGGACACCACCAATTTATCTGGAACTTAGGAAGAAAAATGGAGAAACCACAGACTAACAAAGACAATAGCAGTATTAATAAAGAGAGAAAGCAGTCAGAGACCAGGTGGCAATTTCAGATGACATCAAGTCCAATCACAGAAAATCTCAATAAATCCATACACATCAGCGAACTTACCTGAAGGATTTTGCAGGCGCACAGAGCATCAACATCTGCAGCAACGAGCAACAATACTCTCTGAAAGAAAAAAACAACTTTGGGGTAAGCTATTCTGCAGACAAGACCTTTGTGAATATTGAGATACAGCATCACATGGTTTAAGATTCAGTACCAGAAGCCTAAAATCCTTACTTCTCGCACCTTCACATAATAAAGATTAGTGTCGGAGATGCCACAAGCTGCAGAGTTCTGAATAATCTGCAGCTTGTGGAAAGATGAGTTGGGCAGTTCGGTGAGCAGGGAGTCTGCAGTTACACCTGCACATAATGAAGACTTGGACATCAGCCTGAGGGCAGAGGGGTTCCAAGGTGGAATTCCGGGGTTGAGGGGGGTAGAAAGGATGAATGAGTCAGGACACAGATGTGGGGTTTAAAAGCCAGTTGAGTCACCACACTTTACAGTAAATCCCGTGAAGCACTTTGAGAAGTCTTTGACATGTGAAAGGTGCGATACAATAAGCACACCTTGAGCAGTAATGATGATGATTGCTGTTGACTCCAAAAGTTATTGTTGTTGTACAGTTTTGATAACTGAACCGGACAGAGTAATATAAATGTGCTTGAGTACGATTGGACATGCGTTTATGATGCGTTGCAGTTGAGAGATTTGATTGTAATTCTTTTTGGATTGACCTGGGTTAGTTTTTTAAACGGTTACATTTTTTAGTCGTTTGTGGGTCACTGCCGTGCGCAATTGGCTGCCGCATTTTGCCCACAAAATACAGTCAATCCACTTTACAATAGATCCCCTGAAGCACTTTGAGACATCTCAACCATGCGATAAGGCACTATATCAAATGCAAGAATGATTAATTATTATTACTACAATACAGTTTTAGTTTTATGAAGCAGTTTTTATATAAAAGTATTGAACGGATGTCTAAAACACCCGACAGTTCAGAACTTGCATCCGAGCTGGGGATGGGAGGGTGAGGGGAAAAAGATATATTAAGCTAAATCCAATGCATGGATTCTTACTATTGTGGCGGTGGGTTTCATTTTCTTCAAACTTCTGCCAAACGAAAAATGGGGCAGCATTTCATTATTAAACGATGCGCCGCGAAAGCGATGGGCGCTATATACGCGCACGTTGGTGCTGTAAACAGTCCCGTAGCTCAGCGGTGAGAGCGCTCGCCGCGCAAGCGAGAGACCTGGGTTTGATTCCCGGGCAGAGCAAAACATTGGGCGAGTTTCCTCACGCCACACGGATGTGTTTACCCGGCAGTAAGGAGGAACCCGGCTGTTAACCAATTGGTGGATCGCTTTTCCGGGCATAATAATTCTTTCAAAAAATAATGATAATAATAATAATAAATCGGTCACTTAAAATCCCCGGCTGTTGGTGGGGACGCCGCCGCGCGCAACTGGCTGCTGCGTTCCGCCCACAAAGTGTACAGTCAGTTCACTTTACGGTACGTTCTGCGAAGCGCTTTCGAGACGTCTCGAAGACGTGATGAGGCTCTGCGTCAAATGAGAGGATTATTATTATTATTATCATCATTTTTGACTCTCTTAAAAAAAAGTGACTTTTTTTTTAAAAAAAGAAGGAAGCGAACACTACTGGGCCTTTGGTTCATTCTCTGCTGCCGATTTACACGTCGGTCACTCCTCACGTTTGTTTGAGGTGACGGGTCCGGTGCCTCCCGCCAGAGCGGCTCGTTATTATTGTGATGATGGCGGTTCTGCTGCTGTCGCGGCCCCCCCCGGGCGGGGTCCCCGCCCCGCCCCCCCCCGGGCCGGGGGTCCCCGCCCCTCCCGCCCGCCCCCCCGGGCCGAGGGTCCCCCCCCCGGGCCGAGGGTCCCCCCCCCCCGGCCGAGGGTCCCCTCCCGCCCCCCCGGCCGAGGTCCCCGCCCCCCCCCCCGGGCCGAGGGTCCCCTCCGCCCCCCCGGCGAGGGTCCCCTCCCGCCCCCCCCGGGCCGAGGGTCCCCCCCCCCCCCCGGGCCGAGGTCCCCTCCCGCCCCCCCGGGCGAGGGTCCCCGCCCCTCCCCCCCGGCCGAGGGTCCCTCCCGCCCCCCCGGGCCGAGGGTCCCCGCCCCCCCCCCCGGGCCGAGGGTCCCTCCCGCCCCCCCGGGCCGAGGGTTCCCGCCCCTCCCCCCCGGGCCGAGGGTCCCCGCCCCTCCCCCCCGGGCCGCTCGGCTCCTCACCTGGTTCACGATCACGTCGTAGAACTCCTTACGGAAATCCGACACGAACATCCCCGCACTCACTGCCCCTCAGACCCCGCGCTCACTGCCCCTCAGACCCCGCGCTCACTGCCCCCCACACCCCGCGCTCACTGCCCCTCAGACCCCGCACTCACTGCCCCTCAGACCCCGCGCTCACTGCCCCCCCACACCCCGCGCTCACTGCCCCCTCAGACCCCGCGCTCACTGCCCCTCAGACCCCGCACTCACTGCCCCTCAGACCCGCGCTCACTGCCCCCCCACACCCCGCGCTCACTGCCCCTCAGACCCCGCACTCACTGCCCCTCAGACCCCGCGCTCACTGCCCCCCCACACCCGCGCTCACTGCCCCTCAGACCCCGCGCTCACTGCCCCCCCACACCTCGCGCTCACTGCCCCCCCACACCCCGCGCTCACTGCCCCCTCAGACCCCCTCTCTCTCTCTCTCTCTGTCGGACTCGGTCTCAACGAGAAGATTCTTTCCCCCCGAGCTCGAATCTGGCGCCAAACCGCCTCTCACAGCGCGCTCCTGATTGGACAGAGCTCAGGCCGCTCTCTGATTGGTCGGAGCTCAGGCCGCTCTCTGATTGGACAGAGCTCAGGCCGCCCTCTGATTGGTCGGAGCTCAGGCCGCCCTCTGATTGGTCGGAGCTCAGGCCGCCCTCTGATTGGTCGGAGCTCAGGCCGCCCTCTGATTGGTCAGAGCTCAGGCCGCCCTCTGATTGGATACGGTCCCCCCACTGACCGCATAATGCAGGTGCACACATTTGCCATCACCGCTTTCCCGAGTGGTTCCCGCAGATCGCGGCCGCGTTATTGTGCGCAACACCTGTCGGCCGCACCCGGGAGGGAGGGAGGGAGGGAGGGAGGCCGCCGGGACCGGGACCGGGACACAGCAGCTGCCGTCAGTTTGCAGCAATTTGTCTTCATGACTACATCACAAAGAGCCGTAGCACTTGACCGAGACATCGCCGCCTCGAAAACAAACAGCAGCAGAAATCACTCACTTTCGTGGCTGAGGTACGTTTCGTGATTCATACCGTCGCCGTTCCTCCAGAGGGGGCCTCGTCGGTGTCGGTGAGCGGTGGTTTCACCGCACACGTGAAAGGTTATTGGCGCTGTGTGTGTGTGTGTGTGTGTTTTTTTTTAAAAGTGATTCGTCGTTTTGTGTGAAGCTGCTGCAGCCCTTCTTCGTTCGCCCAAACCAACCCACAGGGACACCGCAGCTGATCGGCAGATTACAAACCTGACATTATCGGAGACCTGTTTCAAAACAACATTTTGACCAGTGTTCAAACCTCTTTAGTTACGGTTAAACTTCCAGGTATTCTTGAAATCACGGAGATGCTGTGTAAGCGAACGGGGAGAACGGGGAGAACGGGGAGGAAAACAGGACAAAACAGGACCGTAATCAGTTTAGAAATACAGTCCTGTATGTATATGCACAGTGTGTATATATATATATGCTTTCTTCCTGTTATGACTGGTTACATGAACTTCTGACCATAGACCAGTGAGAATGTGAGGCGAATTTCATCTCATTGCCTTCTTAAAGTTAAGGATGAAAACTTTGCTATGGCTCGTGAAGCTGTCCTACTATCTTGAAAGAGTTGTCGCCTCCCAGCTGCGCTCTTTCCTCTCCACCCATTCATTATTCGAACCCCTTCAGTCGGGTTTCCGTGCTGCCCATAGCACAGAAACTGCCCTGGTCAAGGTCACCAATGACATCCTGACCATCTGTGACCAGGGCTCCCTCTGCCTCCTCGTCCTCCTCGACCTATCGGCAGCATTCGATACGGTCGACCACGCTATCCTCCTCCACCGCTTGTCCTCCCACCTCAACCTTCAAGGCCCTGTCCTTGAGTGGTTTAGGTCGTACCTCTCCCACCGTCTTCACTTTGTTTCCACGAATGGCTTTTCCTCCACCCCCCGCACTGTCCCGTGTGGTGTCCCTCAGGGCTCTGTCCTCGGTTCCCTCCTCTTCACCCTCTATATGCTCCCCCTGTGGTGACATCATCCGCAGACATGGGGTTAACTTCCACATGTATGCGGATGACACCCAACTCTACCTTTCCTCCTCTACCCTCAACTCCACGACCACCGATGTCCTGACAGCTGTCTGTCCGACATCGAGTCCTGGACGAGAGACAACTTTCTTCAGCTCAAAGTGCATAAAACTGAGGCCCTCCTGATTGGCTCACGTCAAGGCCTCCGCACCTCAGGCGCTGACAGCATCAGCATCCAAGGCTGCACTCTCCACCTCTCAAAGCCATCAGGAACCTCGGTGTTCTGTTCGACCCTGAGCTGTCCTTTATCCCTCATATCCGCGCCACAACTGGCACCGCCTTCCATCACCTCCGAAACATCACCAGACTACGGCACTACCTCACCCTTCACGCTGCTGAAACTCTGGTCCACGCCTTTATCACCTCAAGGCTGGACTATGGGAACTCTCTCCTCGCCGGCCTTCCCGCCACCTCCCTCCACACTGCAGGTCATTCAGAACTCTGCAGCTCGTGTACTGTCCCGCACCAGGCTTCGGGACCACATCACTCCCACCCTCGCTCGCCTCCACTGGCTCCCCATCCCCCAGAGGATCGAATTCAAGATCCTCATCCTCACCTACAAGGCCATTCACGGCCTCGCTCCCTCCTACCTCTCCGACCTACTATCCCCTACCTACCTGCCCGTACCCTCCGTTCCTCTGGCTCCGGTCTGCTCCACATCCCCCGCCCCAACCGCCCTACCATCGGTGGCCGGACTTTCAGCCTCTCAGCCCCGAGGCACTGGAACTCTCTCCCCCAGTGCCTTCGCCGCTTCCTCCCTTTCCTCCTTCAAGGCCGGTCTCAAAACCTTTCTCTTTGACCGTGCCTTCAGCTCCCCTCTCGACTGTCTACCCCCTACTCGCTCCCTCCCTTCCCTCACCCTGACCATTTCCCCCCAATGCTCGGTTCCTGACCCAACTGTACAGCGCCTTGGGACGTCCTCCCGACGTGAAAGGCGCTCTATAAATGGAATCTTGTTGTTGTTGTTGTCAATCTAACCTATTCTAAGCATGATTTTGGCTAGATGAATGGGCCAGTAAAATATATTGCATAATCGACTCTTGACTCAATTTATAATTTTGAATACAATAAACAAGATGTTAAAATAAAACTGATACAGATTCCTTTTGTATGAACCTGGATACCTGGATGTGATCCAACTGTTAAAATTTCATTTTTCATGAATTTTGAGGCAGTATATACAATTTGTGCAAAACTGATACTGACTGTCAACAGCAACAACAAAGTTGTTTTTAAACATTTATATAGTGCTTTTCACGTCTGGAGTATTTCTCAAGGCGCTGCACGGACAGAGTTTCGGACCCAAGCTGAGGGTCGGGGTGGGGGAGGGGGGAAGGCATATATATATATGTGTGTGTATATCCTTTCATATATACCCTCAGCAGTTTTCTTTGCTCCTTGCCAGTTTAATGTTTTCTTTCTCTACCACGAATATGCTTCTCTATCTATGAAATTATTACATTCATATTGTTTTACAGTTTCACAAGTACCCTCAGCACTTTTATGTATTGCTCAAGAGGTAATTAATTCTTCATGTGATATTACATGTATATATACAGTAAATACTGGCAGATTATTCAACTGCTGGGGGAGAACCAAGCTATATCTAGCAAGGTGTGCTAGATAGCGATCATTGATTCCAAATGTCCCCTGCCTAATCAAGAGAGATGGGGGCCAATTTTACCACATATTCTGTCATCCTCGCTGAGATCATAAGGAATCCTCATAATCTGAAAGCCTTAGTTTGACACTGGGCAATCAAATTGGCTTTTCTAACTGAGCCACTGACTCAAATTTGTTTTGTGACTTTTAAAATAAAGCTTCATAGAGAAAAAGTAGGCAGAGACTTTTGAAGGGATTTTTAGTTTCTATTGAGAAACTGGATGTTTTTTGAGAAGTCCTCCCGACACGAAAGACGCTATACAAATGTAATCTTGTTGTTGTTGTTGAATTCAAAAAGAGTTCATCTCTTAAATTATAGCTATATAAGTAACATTTTCCTAATGTTCCTTTCTTGGGACGACCTCCCGACGTGAAAGGCGCTCTATAAATGGAATCTTGTTGTTGTTCTTAAACCTGGAGTCACAGAGAGTAGTCATTGAAAGGACTTCAGTGTGGCAGTGGAGCATTAATTTGTTATGTGAAGCATCATTGTAACTTTTCTTGTTTGTATAACCAGCAAATTCCAAAGATTTAAAGAGATTGATATGGTTTCAGTTTGTGTTTCACGTGATGGGGCATTGACATAACAAAGTGTGTGCATCACTCGTATCTTGTTTTTTTTGGGGGGTCAGCTGGGTATCTGTCACATGCAGAAACCCATCACCAAACTGGACTGAGATTCCACAGAGTATGCCATCTACACATGGAACTTTCCCAATGTTTGGAATGCTACATGCACTTTCTCTCCTTGGAGGGATTCATCCTTCTTACCTAATTGTGGAGAATATTTGGCACAGGTTGGAGAGAGACAAAGCTTGAAGACTCCAGAGTGTGCAGTAGGGTACTGCTGGAATTTAACCACCTAAAACTGCATAACTTGCCTCGAGAGCACTGTCTGACAAGCTTCTTGCTGCTTTTCCAGTATGGACCAACCAATCTGTTAGGGCTAGCATGTAAGCAGGAGTTGAATGGGAAAGTTAACGAGGAGTTGAATGGGAAGAATCCCTGTACCCAATGACTTGTTTGACTTGTCTGCCCCTCCAAGTCTTGCTAATCAGCTGGCTGGTCTGTCATCAGCAGTGTCCTGGAGTACTATGTGGCTCAGGAAGTGGACGACAGAAACTGCACAGAGAATTGACTCAATTCTGATATTCCGTTGCCAAGTACGTCAGCTGAGCTCGAAAGAGACCCCACTTAGCTCCCCACCAGGGAAGATACCTTCAATATGATATGCTAATCACTTGAGTCATCAGCTATGGATTATTTAAAGGTATACACAGTTGTGATTGTGCACTCATTGCTGATGTGATCTGTTTTTTTTTGCCTTGTGTTTATTAGGTATTGCATACACTATATAGCGTATTTTCTGAAAACGTATACATATTAAATGAAAATGTTTATTATATTGTTATTTGACAGCTTGTTGGCTAAACAGTATTTTGTAGGTAATTCCCCCTAGCAGCTCCTTTATTGCTTGTTTTATTTGAGACATTCTCCTACATGAAAGGTGTGATATAAGTATAAGTTATCATGTAAATCTAAGTCATTCCACTTTACAGTATAACCTATTATAATAATCCTTGCATTTGATATAACGCTTTTCACGTCTTCTCGACATCTCAAAGCACTTCAAAGAGTAGACTGTAAAGTGAATTGACTGTATATTTGTGGGCGAAACGCGGCAGCCAATTGCGCACAGCAATGTCCCACAAACAGTCGTGGATTGAAAATGACCAATTTATTATTGTCTTTGGTTTTGGAGGGATTATTATTAGACGTGCGGAGTAAGGAAACTTGCCCAAGGTTTCGCCCTCTGCCTGGAATTGAACTCTGGTCTCTCGCTTGCGAGGCGAGTGCTCTAACCACTGAGCTACAGGACTCCACCCTATTAAACCCTTTGAAATGTCATCCTGACATGAAAATTGCTATACCAAAATGTAAGGACTATTATAATTGTTATAAAGACCGAGGCCCTCCTGATTGCCGCGCGCCAGCGCCTCCGCACCTCGGGCGCTGGCAGCATCAGCCTCCACGGCTGCACATTCAACCTCACTAAGCCAGGCAGGAACCTGGGTATCTTGTTTGACCCTGAACTGTCCTTTCTCCCCCATATCCGCGCCATGACCAGCACTGCCTACCACCATCTCCGCAACATTACTAAACTCTGCCATTGCCTCACCCCTCAGGCGGCCCAAACCCTCACCCACACATTCGTCACATCAAGGCTCGATTACAGAAACTCCCTCCTCGTCGGCCTTCCCAACTCTTCCCTTCACAAGCTGCAGGTCATCCAAAACTCTGCAGCTCATGAACTCTCACGCACCAGACTCCGTGACCCCACCGGCTCCCACCCTCGCCCGACCCCACCGGCTTCCCACCCTCGCCCGACCCCACCGGCTTCCCACCCTCGCCCGACCCCACCGGCTTCCCACCCTCGCCCGACCCCACCGGCTTCCCACCCTCGCCCGACCCCACCGGCTTCCCACCCTCGCCCGACCCCACCGGCTTCCCACCCTCGCCCGACCCCACCGGCTCCCACCTCGCCCGACCCCACCGGCTTCCCACCCTCGCCCGACCCCACCGGCTTCCCACCCTCGCCCGACCCCACCGGCTTCCCACCCTCGCCCGACCCCACCGGCTTCCCACCCTCGCCCGACCCCACCGGCTTCCCACCCTCGCCCGACCCCACCGCTTCCCACCCTCGCCCGACCCCACCGGCTTCCCACCCTCGCCCGACCCCACCGGCTTCCCACCCTCGCCCGACCCCACCGGCTTCCCACCCTCGCCCGACCCCCCGGCTTCCCACCCTCGCCCGACCCCACCGGCTTCCCACCCTCGCCCGACCCCACCGGCTTCCCACCCTCGCCCGACCCACCGGCTTCCCACCCTCGCCCGACCCCACCGGCTTCCCACCCTCGCCCGACCCCACCGGCTTCCCACCCTCGCCCGACCCCACCGGCTTCCCACCCTCGCCCGACCCCACCGGCTTCCCACCCTCGCCCGACCCCACCGGCTCCCCATCCCCCAGAGGATCAAGTTCAAGATCCTCATCCTCACTTTCAAGGACATCCATGGCTTTGCCCCCTCTCACCCCTCTGACCTGCTGACTCCCTACCAACCTGCCCGCTCCCTCCGACCAGCGTGTGGGGTCTCCGGGCTGCTCCGTGTCTCCCGCCCGACCCGTCCTACCATCGGTGGCCGGGCTTTCAGCCTCTCTGCCCCCACACTCTGGAACTCCATCCCACAGTCGCTTCCCCTCACTTCCTCCATTGCCTCCTTGAAGGGCGTTCTCACGACACTTCTCTTCGACTGTGCCTTTGGTCGCCCTCCCACCTCTTTGCCTTCCTTCCCCGCACCCCTCCCCCCACCCCTCCCCCGCGCTCGGGCCCCGATACCTGACTGTTTGGGACGTCCTCCCGACTTGAAGTGCGCTCTTTCAATGTCATGTTGTTGTTGTTGTTGTGATTGGCCAAAGCGCTTGTAAGCGCAGGCTGCCATTGGTCAATGCCGCTCACTGCCGACCAATAGCAGGTCAGGAAATCGCTATTAACAAAAAAGGACCTGGCCCCGCCCAGTCCCGGGGGGGGGGGAGGGAGAAGCAGCCAATCAGAGCAGAGCTGGGCCCGGAGACTGACCAATCGGAGCTGGGCACGGGGGCTGGCCAATCGGAGCCCTGCTCCCAGCATGCCCGAGACTCGAGCCGTTTCCGGTCTGGGTGACGGAGCGGAGTTGCCGGCGGCGGAGAGCGGGTCCCGCAGCGCTTTCCGTGGGTGAGAGAGGACACCGACACAGGACCCAGAGAGACAGACAGACAGACAGACCCTGACCCGGTGCGATAATAACCGGCTCTGCTGCAGCAGCTCCACTTCAAACATGGTAACGTGTCCCGACAGGCGGGAGTGGGGCCTGGACAGGAGGGGGGGGGGGAGTGGGGCCTGGACGGGGGGGGGGGAGGGGGGGAGTGGGGCCTGGACAGGAGGGGGGGGGAGGGGAGCTTCTGCACAGTCACCGGGTATCCATGGAAATCCCACACAGGACAGGCAGCTGCTTCACGTGACCCCACCGTGAAGCGGTGTAGTGACTGAATTGGTGCTGAATGTAAAGCAGCCGTGAAGCGAATGAACCCCATTTCTTCCTCTTTTTTAAAAAAAATTTTTTTTTGGGGTTATTTTTTTCTAAAAAAAAAGACACACAACAATTATCCGCGGCGACTGTTGGCCACGACGCACCCGCCGGGAGGAACCCCACCTCCTCTCTTCCAATCGCAGCCGCAGGTTGTGAGCGAACGGGGGGCCCCGCTGAGTGCATCGCCGGCGCTCGCGGCACCGTACGGCCGCCGCTGCGGGAGTGGCACGAGTCCCGGTGGGAAGCTCGGGTCGGTTTTGTAAAGCCGTCTTGCCTTGCGGCCCGCGGCCAGTCTTGTGCTGATCACCTTTCGGCTATTCCACTGGGGTGAGGTCTGATGGTGTTATGATTAGGGACTTGGGTTTGGAAATATTGAAATAACTCCCCCCCACGACCCCCCCCCCCACGACCCCAGCTCGGGTCTGAAATGCTGTACACTGTCCAGCGCCTTGGGATGTCCTCCCGACGTGAAAGGCGTTCTACAAATGTCATCTTGTTGCTATCTTGCTTGACTATAGTTCTTGTAGTATTAGCTGATGCAAAGAGTGTTTCACTGAAAAGTAAATTTGTACTACTTTGTAATAATTCTGTGAGATTGCAACCGAGCAGTATAAGAAATCTGCACGTTGTACAGAAACTGACATTTCCCAGGTTAAATCTCTAGAAAGTGCTGAAATAGTTGATCTTCGGGCGACTAGGAGTGCCGCTGTGCCCTTTTCAGCAACTTCCTGGAGCTACATGTCAGGATAAGTGCAGGGACAGGATTGGGCTCAACTCACAGCAGTCGATCAGCCTTCCCACACTCACTGTCTCACATCGCACATGAATGAGTGAAGTAACACAGGATAACTAATTTCATGGAATTATACACCAGAAGAAGGAATAAGGGAGGAAATTGCATTTGAGGAGTTAGGAGTCTGTTTGTGGGACATTGCTGTGCGCAATGGTTCTGCCACATTTGCCTACAAATACACAGTCACAGTAGATACTGTGAAGTGTTTTGAGACATCCTTCTGACATGAAAGTTATGCAAGTATTATTATTTATGACGTGGATTTCAATTGCAGATCACATTTTGCAATCAGATTAACATTGATAGCAATTTAATGCATCATGTGATTGACAAGAAATATATATATTGAATAGTGCCTATTTCCCCTATCTGAAGTACATGTAATTCAATCATCAAACAATCAGAAGTTTTCAGTGAATCTCTCTGTCTCTGATCTCACGTATTATGTAGTTGGAGGGGTATGGACTATTTCAACTCTTGTTTTTAATGATCTTGATCTTGTTGATGAAATTGCAGATGAAATGGCAGGAGTGAAATGATGCAACTTCCCCAGCTCACAAGTACCTTTCCCTCCCTCCCCTACCCCCTCCAAACATCAAAAGATGGAAGCAGTATGCATTCCCTCATACTAAATAGGGATTGCAGGCTAGCTATGAGCATGTCCAAGGAAGGATTCATTAAGACTGTGTATGTTTCGATCTCGAGCAGTTTCTTTGCAGGTCCCATCCTACCTCTAGAATGATGCATCTATTGAAAGAAAAGCCCCTGGTTGAACTCTTGCTAATTTAAAATTACTAGTAAAAATGGAGATCAGGTGGAATTTCTTTAGGTGGAGAGCTGTTATGATGTGGAATGTCCTGCCTGGTGCAGTGGTGGAAGCAGTATCCATCCATATCAGCTTCCAACAGAGAATCAGATTGATATCTAAATAGGAGTCATTTCAGAGGTATACAGCAAAGGCAGATAAATGGATTGTTCTTTCAAAGAATCAGCACAGACACGTTGGCCTGAATGGCCTTCTTATGTGCTGTAAAATTTCTGCGGTGATTTTTGCTTTAAAATTCTGTTATGGTTCCTTGTTATGGAATTTTATCATCTTTTGCTGCTAAATTCTTGACACTAAAGACTAATTAAGTGTTTTCCCTTTCTGTTTTGGATGCAGTTTGCCTTCAATATGTTTGACCAAGCAATTCCACATGCTTTTCGGAATCGCTTCTCAACACAGTACCGATGCTACTCAGTGTCGATGTTTGCAGGCAGTGACCGATCAGATGTAGAGAAAGGAGGAAAAAGTAAGTTACAGAGTCGAAATGCAAACGTTCCTTGGGTTTGAATGCCCAAGGTTCAGAAATTGCTTTGAGGATTTTTGCATCTGGCTCCTGTGTTTACCTTGAAAATGTATTCTACTTATTCCTGAAATTACATTGCTGGAAATATGTGACACTTCCTGCTAGCAATTTAGCTTTCCCATGCAGCCACAGCTGAGACCAGCACAGACTGATATTTGAACTAGTGAGCTCTTTATACAAAAGTTGTAGCTTTGTTTACTATAGCAACATTGGGGTTTCCTCCAAGCTAGGCTCTTTGTTGTACCTTTGTTGCTGCTTTAGAGGTCAAAACATGAATATTTTTGGGGAGAAGTGAACTGTGATTTTAATTTAATAAATTTCTAAAGAGAAAATACAGTAGATGCAAAGGGATTAATTGATGTCTGGCCTGCCTTTGTTCTGATCTGGCTATTTGTTTTTTCTCTACAGTCATTATGCCACCGTCTTCTTTGGATCAGCTGAGTAAGTACCTGAATCCCTGAAAGAAACCATCCATCACTTGATACCACTGAGTTGAACTCTTTCTTTCTATAATTTTGCTTTCCCTCCTTAAGATGGTAGGGACCAAAAGCACACCAATATCTCATCTGCATATTAATTCTTCATGTGTGAGGTTTGTCTGTGAGTGTGAGCAGGCTGGTGAACCCAGGAATGGTGGGGTGTGGGAATGGAGAAGACAATAAAAACTTGCACTTATATAGTGCCCTCCACGCAGGGTAGCATTTCAGAGCATTTGAAGGGAGAGCGTCAAAGTAGAGTACATTCCTGTCCATGCACAATTTCCAACAATGGGGATCTAAAGGTATCATGACTGGGGAGTGCTGAGCCAGAGTGACGCCTAAATATAGTTTGTACTGTACTAATGTGTTGTACGTATTTAGAAGGCTGGCGATTTCTAATCATAGTGCAAAGTTTGGATCATGTGACCCGTGTTGTACCAGCAAAAGTACTGATGTATTTTTCCAGTATCTCATTCTTATTCTTGGGAGCAGTGTATCCAGCTATATAAATGTTATTTTATTTCCCCATTCCATCCCATAGTCCCTCCGCCTTGCCCCCTCCCTTACTTCCTTCAAGACACGCCTCTTTGACTATGCCTTCAATCACCCTTCCCGCCCTCTTGATCCCAACAAACAGCTTGGGTGCGGATCCCTGACTGTCCAGCACCTTGGAACATCCTCCTGACATGAAAGGCGCTCTACAAATATAATTTGTTGTTGTTGCCTTCTTGTCCTGCCTGAGCAGAAAAGAATTACATTCCATTTCTGGCTGAACTGAAATGACAATTTACCATTTTCTCTATCAGGCCGTCTCAGCATCACATATCCCATGCTGTTCAAACTCGCCAATAAAAGAACTGAACGGGTGACACATTGTGGAGTCTTGGAGTTTGTGGCAGAAGAGGGTATATGTTACCTGCCTCACTGGGTGAGTGCTGATTGATGGGCATGTGCTGCTGGGCAATATTTTGGAGGAATATTTCAGAATAGGACTCTTCAATGGCATTAAAAAAAAGTATTGGTTGATGAATTTCTTTGAGATGGCTAACTGATTAATGTTATCAAGTAATCCAGTCGGAGTATATTTTTCTAATTGTAATAATAATAATCCTTGCATTTGATATAGCGCCTTATCGCGTCTTTGAGACATCTCAAAGCACTTCACAGAATAAACTGTAAAGTGAATTGAATGTATGCACCACCTTCAACAAAATGGTTTGGAGAATGTGGATAGTATTGTTGATCTTATAAAAATAGCCAAACTTCCAAACACATCAATAATTCTTTAATTTTTTGTGTCTCGCAGCTTTGTAGTTGGATTGGTATCCAGGCAAGATACTGCTCCTAAGCCTCTGCTGTTGTAATTCGCTCAGGATTGTGCGAGAGCCAGGAATATTTTTTTTCTTTTTTCTCCCTCTTTCCTGTTTTCCCCTTTGGGAAAGAACTCGCTCTCCGATCAGCAATACTGTATGGTGGTGTATCTGGGATTAGTATGTGTATGTATGAGGAGAAGGAGATCAGGAGCATAAATCTACCTTTCCCTTCCCTATTCTGTGGCACAGGTATCACTGTATTGCCTCAGGAAAAAACATCTGCCAGAATGAAATGGTGTTGCTTAATGTGGGGAAGGATTGTGCCCCTAATAGGTTGTTTAGTGTGTGCAGTAGCTTTCCTTGCTCTCATTATATAATGAACCTGTTGCTATTCTATTTGTAGATGATGCAGAATCTACTGCTGGAGGAAGGAGGATTGGTCCAGGTGGAAAGTGTTAACCTCATGGTCGCCACTTACTCGAAGTTTGAGCCACAGGCTCCGGACTTCTTGGATATCACCAATCCCAAAGCTGTGTATCCTTTGCTGCAGCCTGGATATATAACTATCCAATTGAATTTGTTCTCCACTTCTTTATCATAATAACATAAAGGAATGTCTTGGAGTGCTTGTCAAATGTAGTGCTAATCAACAAAAAGGAGATTTAACAATGTTGACTTAAATAGGCAACCGATGGTGGAGCAAAATAAGTGGAGAGCGAGAAAAATACTATAATTGGAAGAGTGCAGAATAGAGTAGCGGCATCGGAGAACAATGTAAATTTAGAAATTTTCAATGACACAATAAGTTTTGTGCTGCTGGAGGAGATCAGGGATATAACCATAGTTAAATGACGCAGATGAATGAATATTCTGAAGATTTTGCTCAATTTAACATTGGGTTCTGGGATATCTGGAGAGAGTTTTTCTCCCAAGATATGAGTTTGGGGGATAAAATCCTTGAGGGTAAGCTTTGCATGATCTGTAAAAAGCAGTGCTGTAGTTTTCCTTCATGTGTTCTGGTCAGACTGGAAAATGCTTTGAGAAACTTTGCCTGTTTGACTACTGGAGATGTCATAGCCATCAACTACAATGAGAAGGTGAATTAATGATTTCTGCACCATGTGCTGTTAGTATGTGCGTGGAGGGGGGAAACTCTTCAGGACTCCTCATCCTAATTTGTGTTGTAAATAATTCACTCAGAATCAGGAAGGTCAGCAGCAGTACAAATCACAAATGCTTTCAGTGGATGGACCTGATATCTTGCTTGCAATTTCATAATTTGTAGTGTTAACAATAATTCACAAGAAGCATTATAAATTATGCCCCATGGCTCTTCGTCATATATTCTGTTTACGTTACAAGTTAGATAGATGTGGAAATTAAATGGTGAAGAAGTAACATGTCAATGAGGACTCCAATAGAGAGATTATCCTCACTAACTTTGCAGTGAAGCAAAAAGTGCAGGTAATTGGATATTGCACAAAATACTAATTAGTTAATATGAGGGATATTAGTTTTTAATTGGAATCCTCTTAACAATAATGCTTTTATTGATATTGAATGATGTTACATCAAAATAATTTGAACTACAAAGTAATTTGTTTCAAAACAACATTTTTCGGTGCAGGTCTTAAACGAGACCTGAAATTATTAAATACTGTGTCAGAGTGGAGTGTTCAGAACATACAATGGCGGCAATACTTTTGGATTGATTTCATTACACCTGATGATGTGGCAGGCACTGAAATTGAAACTAAAGTTTTTGAATTTTTTTAGTCCTAGGCTTGTAGTCAGCTTTTTTGAGATAATGCAGAAAGTTGTTTTCTTTCCCAAGGCATGCAAACTTATTCTCCCCTCCTCCACATTGCAATGATACCATTAAGTTAACATGTGGTCCTGAATTCACACTTCGAATGTACAATAGTCTAATCTGATATACATTTGTGAAAGATCTTCCTCCATAAACTTTCTTTGATTTTTAGATCTATGAGCTTCGGGTCATGGAAACAAAACCAGACACGGCTGTCTCCATCATTGAGTGTGATATGAATGTAAGTTTTTTTTTTAAAAAATGCTTTACGTTAGGCTCAGTTGGTAAAGCCACTGCCCAAGGAACTGAATTGAACCAAGGTTCTTCTACATATGCATGCATCACTGTATGTAAATGATTCATGCATATGCAGAAGGTCCTTGGTTCAATCCCCACTCTGTCCGTAATTGATCACAACAATTAAACAGTAGGTGTGACCCAATTACAGTGGAATCTGCTTTTGCCAGACTCTGATTAATCTGCTTGTATTTGCAACTTTGTCTCATCATTTGCTTAGACTTGATTATGATCTTTATATTGTTACTCCACTTTCTTGTCAAGATTGACATTTTATATGTTTGTGCTTTGCAGGTGGATTTTGATGCTCCACTAGGATACAAAGAGCCAGAGAGGTTTAGCAAGCATGAGGACTCCTTGGTAATTGCTTTTAAAACTTTGGTGAAGTTGTAAACGTTTGCTCTTAATCTCCCGATGAGTTTAAAAACTATACAGATATGTGAGTCAGACAACCCTTAATGTCAGGATACAGTTTATGATTATCTTCCGTTTGTCACATCATGTGCTGATTGCTATTTGTATTTAGATGGAATATCTTCATGTTTTCTAGGATCTTGACCCTGAGGAGGCTGCCTTTTTGGCAGCTGATTTAGGATTCCGAGTAAGTAGAAAACTCCCACCATTCATGTGCTGCTGTCAAATATTTTTTGAGATTTACAACAGTTACTATACACAGAAGCTTAATCTTTCATTTTGTCTTTTTTTTTCCCCTGTGTCGCACTTTTCTCCCTTCCCCCCGGAAACTAAATTTGGAAGTCAAATTTAAGTATTCTTCTTAAAGGGTGATGTGTACTCATGATGTAGCCTCGATTGGGAACATAATGCAGCTGTTTTTCCTGTTCTGTTTTCAGGCATTCACTGGTTCTGGCAACCGGCTGGATGGGAAGAAGAAAGGTGTTGAACCCAGTCCAGCTCACATCAACCCAGAGGACATTAAAAGGTTACTGTCTTTCCAAAACACAATGTTCTGGACTCTGTACCTAATCTGATCATCGATTGCATGTTCCAAATAATTGTGAATCTGGTCAGCAGAATTTGGTGTAATTAGTTACAAATTAGAAACTCCACTTTGCAGTGCTCTGTTCAACATACTAAGGCCAGGAAAACAAAAGCTAGTACAAACATTGCTGGCAGCAAGAACAGTGATGAAACTCATGCATAAGGACAAGGTAAAATGGATTCAACACATAGTGAGACACTAGTTTAAAAATACATCCTTTCATCTTCCACCCCTCAAGAAATGAGGCACAACATATCTGGTCCCACAAGCAAACCCAACATTTCTCAGTCATAATTTGGGCTAATGAAGTTAAACGTGGTATTCGCCCACAAATATACAGTCAATTCACTTTACAGTGTGTTCTGTGAAGCGCTTTGGGACGTCCTCCCGACGTGAAAAGCGCTATATCAAATGCAAGGATTATTATTATTATTATTTGTTACAAATATTTATATAGCTCCCGCCAAGGTCATACAATGTCAACAGAATAATCGAGCAAATCTGAAGTTTTGGTCATAAGTAGTTATTCACTTGATGGGCTTCTACAGTGATCTGAAATAAGCTTCATCAGAAAAAAACAGCTACTGGTAACCATAATCTCTCCCTCTTTCTCTAACGATCCCACAGAGGAATCCCAAACTATGATTTTAAAATAGGAAAAATTACCTTCATCAGGAACTCGCGACCACAGCCCAGACGACTGGATGATGTGAGTAGGGGATTGGGTGAAACATCTTAGTTGAAATGGGCAGTTCAAAGCATTTTTTGTGGTAATATTTGATTAGATAAATATTATTGTCATGTATAGAACTATTCATAATATCAATAAACCCTGCTTTAAAAGAATAGTTTACAATTCAAATCTAGTAATAATCACAGAATATTGCCCGATTAACCAGTGTTTCCAGCATTTCTGTTTTGCAGGAAAGTTTGTTTTGTCATTAATATTGTGTAAACTAGATCTGAAAATGTTATGTATTAGTGTCCTCCACACAAACAAAATTTATATGGTTTCTAACTTTGTAAAGAGTCACTCAAAATTCAGTGTTATTTCTGCAATCTTTGTCCTTGTCTCTTTTAGAGATAATTTCACAAAATGTCAGCCAGACAGAAGTTGCAGTGTTCAACATTTTTGGTTTACTCGATTTCTGTGGTAGAGAAGCACTGAGACGTCACGATGATGTGATAAGGCACTATATCAAATGCAAGGATTATTATTATTAGATATTTCAAGGTCATTTTCCTCACCAGCCTCTACTTTTTTCCTATCCCCCAGATCGATTTCCAGATCCTTCTCATTGCCTTCAAAATGTATTGTTGGCTTTTGCCCTAACCTACCTCTGCAGTATCCTATGGTCCTACTCCTTCCATTCTGCCAACTCTGGCATGCTTCATGTATTATGCCCACTATCAGTGAGCGAGTTTGCTGTTTAAAATTATTGAACAAAGGGTTATTTGCTCACTCAGCTTTCCCCATCTTAAACAACTATTCAGATCAGTCTTGTTGGATCAGACTTAATAACCAAGATTATCAGCTCTTCTTTATGTGTGGTTTGATGATTGGATTCAAGAAATCCTCAACTCTGACTGGGTAAGGTGATGTGCAAGTGATTGGTGTTCTCCTCATGTTCTTTTCTGTTGATACAGGAGGCTGGGACCAGCAGGTTTGTTGCTTTTTCTGGAGAAGGACAGTCTCTGCGCAAAAAGGAAGAAAGCCGTAGAACACAAAGCACTTTGCTGGAGGAAAATGGCCTTTCCCATTTGGACATGGAAGTTTGGAATTTACAAAACCTTCTCCAATTGGAATTCTTTGCACTATCCCTCCCAAAGACTGAATTTTTATTTACTGCATATGATGGTTTCACACGGACAAGTAATTTGGGATTGAAGTGATTGGTTTAAGATTGGACATGTCTTGTCCCTGAAGTACATGATGCAGTCAGAATAAGAAACTTTGCTGAACGCTATTGTGACTGTTTGTAAAACTTTTGCCCTGTAGATATCTTGGTTAAGTAAACATCTTCTGATATTTTTGGACTTGTCATTTTTCAAGTTGTTTCACATTATTATTGTGTGCATATAATCTACCTATTAGTCCTCCATGTCATTTTATCACTTAGAGTGGGATTAATTCAATCTTGTATCATTTAAAAGCAGATTGTATGATTTAAATTAATTGATTGTTTCTCCATGGTGATCAAAGCCCAATTTTAACAACTATTCTTACGTGATCATATATGGAAGCTAGTCATGTTGTTTTATCATATTAAACTGTAAATCCGAACTCCCAAGGCCGAAAACCTGAAGGAGAAAGGATAATAAAGCTCCTTGAACATACAAAATGACATACAAAATGGTGACTTGATGTAAAGCAGTGGATTGTGGCTAATTTATACTCCAGGCAAAAATCTATGCTTGTGATTCATCATGTAACCAATTTGTGCTTCAAGTAAGTCATCCACATTGGAAATGGCAACAATAACTTGTATTAATATAACGCCCTTCACACAGGGTAGCATCTTGGAGCGGGAGGTAACCATTGGAACAGTCAATGAGAAAAGTCTTGTGCGGTTTCAAAACTGGCAAGGAAGGGCAGGGTGGAGAATTGAGGCAGGGATTCAAGAGGTTCAGGGCATAGTACCTCACCAGAAAGCACGGCTGCCGACAGCGGAATGGAGGGGTCGAGGAATATGCAGAAGGCTCAATCTGGTTGAGTGAAGGGGGCGGGTAGAGGGACCTTAAAAAAAGGGGGTAATGGAAGGAGGCGTGAAGACGAGTTGCTCTAATAACCACACAAGATATGGAGTGGATCAGAATAGGCACAAAATAACTAAGGATAGAGGGGAAAAAATAGACTGGGGGGTGGGGTGGGAATGTGTCAGAGCAGGACTAAGGATATTGAGGGCAACAGAGATGATTAGTCAATGTTGCTTGGTTCAGAGTTCTCTGATGAGAGTAGGATCTTTTATTTGAGAATTATATTTTAATTGAATAAATCCTATCCTTCCCCCAAATTTAATTTTAATAATATTTAAATTCTTTCAGGGTCTTGGGAAACGCAATAATTATTTTCTTTACAAACCTACATTTATGTTGAAGAAGACTGTTGGTGTGTGGCATGCTGTGCCTTTGCTCTTCAATTAGGCTTCTCGATATAAAAAATACCTTACCAGCTATGCAAACTACAAACCAAAAAGTAATCCTTCAAACCATTCAGCACACTGTGGGGGCAGAAGTTTAGTCCCGTCTGTAGTGTACTGATCAGATATTGAAATTCAGAGGGAGTGACAAATGGACTGACATCAGAATCAGCCCAGAACCTGTAAGAATGTAAAGTTTTAAACGTCTGTGAGTGTTTGTGATGCCGATGGTTCCTCCACTCTTGGCTGTGGTGTTGACCCAAGGTCTTGCTCATTCACTGGGGAGAGCTTTACATCACAATAGCTTACTGTGGCTTTACTTTCCTGACTTTAATTGTAAACCACCTTTAACTGACGCCTTTGCATCGGGTGTTGTACCCATAGTAACAAGAAAACATTCTGTGATGCGACCACCTGTGTTTTAAAAATGTATTCTAAACAGTAATGTTTTATTGAGACCCAGTCTCGAAATATTCACATTCTAATAGTTGCTGCAGGTTTCTGACCTGAACGGGCGATATGAGTTACCTTTGTCAATAATGCCCCGTCTGCAAAGGGATATTCAAGCACAGGCTTGAATACAATACAATATTTTTTCCCATTTTTTAAAAAAAAATTTAAGATTGTTTTAGCCCAAATTGTCCCATCATCGGAGTGAGTGTCAGTCACTGTGCAGCTGTGAGAGTCTTGCGAATGAGAACTCCCCGAGAACATGGACCTGATGCATGAGCCCTGCGACAAAGTGAGCCCCAGTGAGGGTTGGATCGATGTATTTGGTACGTGGAGCCGACAATTGCAGATGTTAACGAGAACCTAAGAGTATAGATCGGGGCCGCGTGCAATGAAATCAATGTGATGTTAACTGTTTGTTGTAGGGAATGGGCTGTTGAAGAAAAGAACTGTGAGCTGTGGCAACGTGGAACTGGAGAAACCAGGAAATGGGCAAAATGTGAACGTGTGGGTGAAGATAATGCACGAAAATGGGGATGTTCTTGTGGGCCGTCAGAGGCTCTCATTCACTATCAACAAAGGAGATGTCATTAAGGTGAGTGTACACAAGTCCACCGGTACAAACTGCAGTGCCTCACGATGCAGGAAGGGCATCACTAAAGCAATCTTCCCTTCTGACTGGTAGGAAAATAGTAGACTGCAACAGTAGGAAAATGAACAGCAGTTGATCGCAAATGATTACCCAAAATTGGACCCGTGTAAATGTCACCCGTGGACACAAATCACACCTGTGTTTGAGTCCCTTGTGCGATAATTAGACCCGTGTAAAGGTCCTATCTTTATTTAGTTCACAAATGTAAAATTCACAACTATAAATTGCACCTCTCTATGAGTCATATCTTGTACACGTTAGAGTTAGACTTAAGTTTTGCTAGTTTCCAATATTAATCAGTAAAAATCAGTATGTGTCAACTTTTCCAATTTTCTATAAATCAAGGATTCCCATCATTATTTTACATTTTTTGTTATCATTATTGAATCCTCAGATTGCAACCTCCTGTTTGCAATCTATGCTTTTAATGCAATGTCAGTTGCTGTATGTCCCTATTTTAGTAGATGAAAACACCACTAAAAATCCAGAAAAACACATCAATATTTATTATCCATTGAAATTTTTTTTAAAAATTGAAAACTGGCAATCTTATTTATCATCGAATGCAGTGTTAGGAGATTGCTGCATTGTTGGATATGCCACCCTTTGGTTGAGATCTTAGAACTGAGGTCCCCATCTGCCTATTTGGGTGGATGCCAAAGATTCCAGGACACTACTCTCAAGGGAGGGACGGAGTTTCTCCCTGTGTCCAACTCCTATCTGGGTTGTGTGGATTCTGAAAACATATCCCAAATATTAAACAAAATTGTTTATTCATTGCATGGCTGTGGGACATTGCTGTGTGCAATTTGGCCATGTGTTTGCCTACAAATACAATCATAACACTTTACAGAAAAACTCTGAGAAGCACTTTGAGATCTTTTGACATGATTACTATTACATGCAAGGATTATTTTTTGACTGCCATTATTTCTCAGTTATTGTTCTAGTACTATGGAATGATTAAGAGCAAATGTTGTATGAGAGCTGGGATTGCACTAAAAATTTCTGTAGTGCTTGAATCATTTTGTCTCCGAAATCCATATTAAACTATTGTACAATATGTTCAGCACAGTCTGAAGCATAACTTGCAATTCCCTTTTCCTCTTAAAGGCCCTCGAAATATGTGTACCCCTTATGCATGTTCAAGAAACAGCATTGATTCTTACAGACTCCAAATTCTGCTCTGGAAGGGCAGCCAGGTAAGACCTGATGGAAAATACTTTCACCAGTTAATACTATATCAATCAATGTGGAGGAGTCCTGTAACTTAGAGCCTCACAAGCGAGAGGACCTGGTTTGTTCCTGGCAGGGTGAAACCTTGGGCACACGCCTCTGTTTACTTAGCAGTAAGTAGGAATCTGGTTATCAGTCGATTAGCTGATCGCTTTCTGAGGATAATAATTCCTTCCAAATACATAAAAATAATTTGGTCACTCAATTCACAATGGTTGTGGGACACTGATGTGTGCAATTGGCTGTTGCGTTTCGCCCACAAAATATGCAGTCAATTCACTTTACAGTATATTCTGTGAAGCACTTTAAGACATCTCAAAGACATGATAAGGCGCTATATCAAATGCAAGGATGATTATTGTATGGGAATTATGGATGACTGTGAGTGAGCAACAAAGCTGTTGTAAGGGTTCTGAAAATATTATCAGCCATAAGGAAACCTACGAGATTTACAGTTACTACACTTTAGTATATCCTGTGAAGTGATTTGAGATGTCCTCCCAATTTAAAAGGCACTACATAATAATAATAATAATAATAATCCTTGCATTTGATATAGCGCTTTTCACGTCGGAAGGACGTCCCAAAGCGCTTCACAGAACACACTGTAAAGTGAATTGACTGTATATTTGTGGGCGAACGCGGCAGCCAATTGCGCACAGCAATGTCCTACAAACAGTCGTAGGTTGAAAATGCCAATTTTATTATTGTTTTTGGTTTTGGAGGGATTATTATTAGGCTCTGTGTGGAGTAAGGAAACTTGCCCAAGGTTTCGCCCTGTGCCTGGAATTGAACTCAGGTCTCTCGCTTGCAAAGCGAGTGCTCTAACCACTGAGCTACAGGACTCCACACCAAATGTAAGGATTATTATTTTTACGAGTGTGATATTTGGACATTGCCTGGACTGCAGAATTACTTTACATCCTTGTACTTACTCTCTTCCTAATTATTTGGAATTTATAATGTGATGCTTTAATGTAAATTATATTTAATGTTACAAGGCAGGAATGATAAGAATCACAGTCACTGTCACTAGTAACATTGTTTATTACGCAACAGTGAAGCTTCAGAAATGAAACCAGGATCCAGACTGCTTCTGGAAGTTCAACTTCTGTCAGTTAGTGGAACGCTTCTGGAGGTAAAGTCTTTGGCTGAGCAGCTAGAGTTAATCAGCAGTGAACGAGAGAAAGGCAATCGCTATTTCCAGAGCAAGAACTATGACCTGGCATTCCTTTGCTACTCTCATGCATTGAAGATCATAGAGTCAAACTCTAAAGGTATTGAAGAAATCGTTAGAATTATTTGGTATTATTTTCATATTTACAACAACAACAAAATTACATTTATAGAGCGCCTTTCACGTCGGGAGGATGTCCCAAAGCGCAACAATATCTTGAGTGTTTCAGGAAATTTTGGAAATTGCACCCACTCTCTGGAGTGCCTCTGACTTGCTCCCTCACTTCGTTCAAGGCCCATCTCAAGACCTACCTCTTTGACTGTGCTTTTAGTCATCTTTCCCCTCCACACCCGCCATCATCTCCCACTTTCTGTTCGGTTGCCCAGCGAGTTAAGTGCTTTCACGTAGTCTATCAAGCACCTGTATGAAGGACATCAGTTCCCAAATATCTTTCATGTGTTTTGTTACTAGCTGAGATAAGATTATAAGAGTGGTCTGGATGAAGGAGGCTCTTTGCTCCATTTGATCACATCTTTCCTGAACACCAACCTTAGTGATCCTTGTAATTCAACCATCTTAAACACGAAAGATCATCCCTCATTGTTTTCCCCCCATATTGTCTCTGAGGATGTGGGCAGCACTGGGGAAACCAGAACTATAAGCAGGACATGAGATGCGCCCTGACCA